AGGGACGGTGTGTGTGTGGAGGGGCGGTCTGTGAGTGTGCTGAAAACCAAGGGACAGGGTGGTCCCATTCCCAATGGCTTGAGGTGCCAGTGATTCAGCAGCGATTGTCTGAGCATCAGCCCCACGCCAGGCACCGCATCCACTGCTGGGAATACCAACTAGACTGGTTTCTTGACCCTGCGGGAGCTTTGGACCTGGAATCCACAGCTGGGGACGTAACAGAGGCAGTGTGTTTCCTCAGGGTGTTCTTTTAGGCTCAGTACAAACTTTCTTTGGTCTAAGTCCACGTGCCCGTGGTATAGAGACTGGAGCCAGGAGGAAAAGGGAGAAAGAAAAATTGCCTATAATCTGACCTCGTATACCCCCAGTTAGCATGCTGGAAGCATTCTGCTTTACATATGCATCTGAATAACATCACAGAGCAGAACTGGGATTACACAGTAAGGACCTAAAACGCAGAGCCCTGGAAACTCGGCGCCTGCGGCTGGTCTGGGATGGTCCGAGGGCTCCTCCTCGGAGGTTCCCCGCCTCACGTTGGCCCCAGGGAATCTGCTTTTCCTGCTGGGGTGGGGGGACCAGGCTGGCCACATTTCCTTTCTTGACTTCTTTTCCACATTCACTTGCCAGTCAAAGACCTGCTCTCTCCTTGCAAAGTCGGTTACCTTGAAGTTGAAGATGGTGCCTGTGACTCCGGGGTCACGGGACTGGAAGAAGCGCTAATCTGGAACTTGCCGGCACTGCCGCCCCCTGGCTTTGTGTGTGGCGGGGGCCGGGGTGGGGGAGGTCAACTCGCAAAACCTTGAGATTGATCTAAATGAGCTCTTTTTCCATTTTACCATACATTATTATTCAGGGAACATTACATCGTGGTAATTAAGAATTGAGACCTTCTTATTACAACACCTGGTTTACATGAGGCAAAATAAACAGTGGCTAGGAACATAGCTTCTCTGACCAGGTACTGACACTACAGGGATTCTCAGAATTTCTCACTTTTCCACCGAACTGTCACTGTCACCATAGTTAGCTTGTCTCCTCACTTCCTTAGAAATGGCTTTGGAGAAGCACGGGTACAGAGAATGAGACTTTGCTCCTCTGCTGGCACCTAGCCACTCACCCCCATGCACTGTCTAGTCAGTGCCTGGCATTGATTAGATGCTCAATAAACTTCTTGTATGAGTTAGCGAAGGAGTGAATGACTGAAGCAATCCAGGTGCCAAATCAGACCACTCCCCTGTGAGTGAAGTTTTCGGTCCCCATTAGCTGCTCATTTTTGTCCATCCTCAGTTGGAATCAACGACCTCTGGAAAGATGCCTTTTATGTGACCAGGACAACAGGGCCAAGCTCTGAAGGCCGTCCGGCACCCCTGGCGGTCAGCAAGCTTAGTCTGCGCCGGGCGCTGATGGAGGGCCAGGTGGTCCAGCTAAAGGAGACCACCCCCAAAACTGGCCGCGGGGAGCTGCGAAGATTCCTCTCTAGGATAAAGTTCGTCGATTCTCCCTTCCAGGTGAACAGCTTGTGAAAGCAATGTTTGGTTAGTGTTGAGGGTTTAGGACAAATACTCCTGACTCCAAGTTGGCTCTTTAGGAGGGAGTGGGACGGGAGCCTTCCTGAGTAGCCGGGTACTGGGAGACAGTTGTCTTGGGTCAGTGTCAGGTTGTCAGGGAGCCTCACAATCATTAAGGGACGGCACTCAGCTGTTTTCAGCTGGAAATGGTACCATCTCCCTCTGGGGACATTTGGAAGTTGGGGTCATGGCTTTTATTGTTCCTCCTGGTCTTTTCTGGGTGGGGGCTGGTGACGCTGGCCTCGTGCAGGACTTGTGGGAGTTACATACCGTGAAGAACTATCTTACTCAAAATGCAACCTCCCCCCACCCCCAGTACTCTGGTTAAGTTCACTGTTCAAGAGCTTATCATGGAAAAGGGTCTCTGGGCCTTTCTGGAGGGACACTTACGAACTGCTGGGGCTGGACCAAAAAAGGACAGGAAAATAGAGGGGTGGTCTGACCTCTAGGGCTCCTCCCCGTCTCTCCCAGAAAAAAATGAAAGTCACTGATGCCTGCACCTTTCCCCTAGATCTAGCCTGGCGGACTCTTCAGTTTGAGAAGCTGGTGTAAACTCAGTTCTCTGGGGAGAAGGAGGACTCCTGCCACCTCACTCCACCGCCTCTGTGTGACGGGCCCCGCTTTGGAAGGCACTGGGGGTCCTTTGATGAGAGCATGATCCGTTTGGCTGGGGCATCTGACCTGCCTTTCCCATCCCCGCATTAACTCCCTCTGGGCACGCCCTGTGGATAGTTCGGAAACGTAAATCTTATTAAGTGTGTTTTGTTTTTTTTTTGTCGGTCTAATTTATAAACCCTTGCTGGGAAATTCCAGTGAGGTTCTTCCTTGGAACATGTTGTGGTTCGTTTTGCCCTGCGTGTGTACTTTTTAGTGTAGTGGTGAAATCCTTTCTAGATTAGCATGTCCTGAGCTCCAGGGACCTCGTTTCTTGTCCGTCTGATATGCATCTGGTTGGTTTGGTCCTCTTGAGACTCCCAGACAGCCTACCTCTGACTTGGAGGGCCCCCCAGCATTTCTCCCCTATGCTCCCCAACCTGTACCTTGGCTTCCCCCACCCCGACCGTAGCAGCAGTGAGAGAGATGACAGTGGGGGATGGAGTGAGCCGTCCTCACCTTGCGTCTCCTGTCTCCTCATGTTCCGTCTCTAGTACTTAGTGACTGTAAGAATTAACCCTGTTCCTATCAGAAGGGGAGCAAGAGAAATCTAAACGACTCACCTCTGACAAGGTCCCTGTGTGACGATGTGGTCTGGATTATCCTGCCAGCACTTGTGTACATGCCGTCCTCAACTTAGAGGAAAACTCAAGTCAGGAACGCTGAGGTCGACACCCTCGGCCCCCTTCATCTCCAGTCTGCTTTCTCAGCATCTTCTCCTGTCGGGCGTCCTCCTTCCCACCCCGCACTTTGCTCTCTTTTATTCAGGGATAATTGTGATTTGCTGGAACAAGAGCAAAGCTGTTTCTGGACTTCTGTCTCAGGCTCCTTGGGTCCGGCACGCAGCCCTTCTGCCCTGCTCCCCTCCTCCCTTGTAGGGCCTTTGCGGCAGAGTATTTTGAGAAAATGGCTCTGTAAATACTGTAACTTTTATAAGTGGTTAAGTCCTTTTGAATTGTCTCCAGTGCTGACGTCTCCCTTCCCCTATGTGAGTATGCTGCTTTATCAAGTTCTTCTTTAAACTTCTAGGTCATTGTTTATAATGCAGAAAAAAGTCCCATGTGAACCTGGGGAGAACCACTTCTCTTCTCGAATAATTTTGCTAGATCATCCCCGAGTGTGCTTGGGGTCTCTCTTTACTCGAGCCTGTATCTTTTGAGCTTGTGTTAATAGATACCAGAAAATTTAGAGATTCCAGAAAATTGGGACCCCCAATTTAAAGGGAGACGTGTGAATTGGTCACCAGGAGGCATTGTGACGTAACGGGAGGTTGGTAGTCCGCGCTCCAAGCAGGCCTGGTGCCCAGCCTGCAGCGTGGTCGTGCCGGGTTCCTGGGCACCCCTCCCTGCCTTAAGCCCCTGAAAGCAAACTTGGTTTCAACACTTTGGGAGGCACGTGTGGGTCCAGCTTATTGTGAACTTGGAGGAGCAGTTAGGAGACACCCAAAAAGCACGGGACTGATTCCAGATTCACGTCTAGGATCTGCCTGAGTAGAAGGGCATCTGGTCTAATAGAGAATTCTGAGGACTCACTTACAATTGATGAATGCCTGAAACTTGGGCGGTGGTCCTGCAGCCTGGGTGGGCCACCTGGCTCTCTACCATGTGGAGGCTTTCTGGAAAGCCAGCCCCTTTAGACAGGAGTCAAATGCAAAGCTATTTCCTGAGGATTTGGTCTGAGGGGGATTGTTTGGGGTAGGACTGTATTTATGTTGGGTGAGTCCCAGAAATACATGAGAAGCTCAAAAAACAATGTCCCTCAATTCTCTGTGGTGTGTTTGCAAACTGACATAGATTATTTGGACTGTGGTAAGTTTGAATCTCTCATAGCTAAACGTAGGACACAGGCTGTAGGTTTCCTCTCCTTGCAGCCGATTCAGAGGGTGTAAATGGTGGCCGAAGACTGTGAAATCTTCATCTGATTGGCGTATATGCTGGTCTCTTGTCAAATGCGTTTCTAAACTTCCTTCTCCTTGCAGGCAGCCTCCTAGCCAGACATGTGAGATAGGACGTGTCCCTCCTGCCCGCACTCCCCGCGCGGGTTGCCAGCAAAGCCAGCAGGACCACCGCTTAGAGTCATGGCTTGTGCAAGGGCAAGGGTGTTCCTTCTCCCAGTCTGTCCTCTTCCCTTCCCTTCCCTTCCCTTCCAAACCCTCTGCCCTGGACCACATCCTCCCCACCCCCCAGAGGGTCTCTGCTCCCCTTCTAGTGTGGTCTGGTGGTCCCACCCTCTTGAATGTGGATCGCTGTCCTTACTGCCCACATTAGGGGAGAGCCAGCTGGTATGTTGTCAGGAAGCATTATTTAAAATGTGAATTGTTGTGGAACAAATAAACACCGTGTATAGGAACCTACTTGTGTGCCATTCTCATTCTTCCAGTCATCAAAGACGGCTTGTTTCCCCTGATGGAAAAGAGAAAGGGCAAGAGGATGGGGTCCAGAGAGGTGGGTATGCCGCAGCCTGCTCCCTGGGGAGGCCTCCCTTGGGTTCCCACTGCGGAGCCGTCATCCTGTCTGCGTGGCCTCAGTGGGCCGTTTCTGGGGGTGGCGTGCTGCAGGACCCTTCTCGTGGGTACTGCTCTCCAGATGGCTCTGAGGACGATATGTAATTAGTGTACTGTCGTATGGGTACCACTGTGGGGATGCAGGACCCCGTAGCAGGCGGGGTGGACGACACCTGTTCTACATGTCAGGCTCCCAGCAGTGCCTTCGTCTTCCACTGGGTGACTTCCAGGAAGGTTCAAGTGCGCCACGGAAGTGGACGCACCGTCAGCTCCCCACCTCCATTCTTTCGAACCTCAGACAGATGACTGGGTTGATCGGCCCCTAAAGGACAGGAACTGTATCTCACTCCTCTTTTACCTCCCAGAACCCAGCACAGAACAAACAACCAGTAAAGGCGAGAAGGGACTCCTGCTCGAGTGAGAGGTGGCGAGTGGCGCGGACCAAACTGTGACGGAAAAGGGAGCAAGGATGCCCAGCACCCAGGGGCGTGACCCCTCGGACTCGGACTTTAAATACCCTGGTTCTTAACCTCTGAAAACCACACTCCAGAAACAGCCTTTGGCTTAAGCATGTGTTGATACCAAAGCAGCATGTAAGGTAGGGCTCAGCCTGCTCTCCCAGCCCACTGACTCCTAACACGGTTCTTCCTCAACAGATGCCCCTGCCGCCTCTTCCCCGGGCCCCCGGCCGGTCCCCGGTTGAAATCCTGTGTCGCGTAGCTCTGAGTAGAAGTCAACTCCCTCGGAGACGGAGCGGATGGGCTGGGGGTGGTGCGGGGGGCAGCCGGTCACAGGGCCCCCCGGCTGGGCTGCACCCGCCGGCTGCTGCAGGAAGCACTGGTGGTGGTGCGGCAGGCAGCGCGGGGGGCCCTTGAAGCCCTTACTGTGCTTGGACTTGAACTCCAGCACCAGCCTGGTGTAAGTGTTGAAGGTGTTGACCGCTGATGCCATGCAGCAGGTGAAGGAAACCCAGGCTGTGCTAGGGACAGACAGACAGACGATGGAACGTGAGACTGACATTCTTAGGGGTTTGAAAGAAAAACACTGATTCCTTCCTAGTCATCAGCTAGGCTGATGCCTCTCAGGGATTTGGGGACCCGAGGGCACTGCCTTCCACCACGTTGCAGGTAGAGAGCTGCGGGCAAGAAGACCTCATTTGGTCTGTCTTAGGGCAAGTTCTGAATGTTCTGTAGTAAAAGACAAGGACTCATAGAGTGTTCAGGCCAGACTAGGCATTGAACAGCTTCGTTTTCACTGAATTGTGGTTGTGCCGTGTTCTTTTATACCTGGTGTGCCTATTTTGTGCGTGTGCGTGTGTGTGTGTATGTGTGTGTATACAGTTTTTTCGGCTACTTGTTTCCGAAGCTGCAGTTACCCTTACCCTAACCCTCACATAATCTCCAAGGATCCACAGACCCGTAGCTCCACTGTACACAGTGGACATAGCCCAGTGCACTGCTTCCCTGCTTCCCCGGACACACACACACACACCCCCTCCCTGCCAAAGATTTTGCTCCACTCAGATGCCTCTTCCATCTTCCTTTGTTTTGAGCTTAGCAGTCTTAGGGTCTACAAGGTTGAAGGTCATTCAGAAAACCTTTACTACACACCTGGAGGTATTATTATTGGTTGTGCTAGTGGAATTTGCACATGGAAACAATGTGGTTCTTGGCTCTAGGGGGTTTATAAAGGATGGAAGAGATGCTGGAGATGAAGAGAAGTTGGATGGATTCAACAAAAAAACACAAGTCACCAGGCAACTGTATCAGTCACACTCCTAAAAACTTGGAAGGTCAACCCCCTAAGTCTCCCACGATTGCGGGAAGCCCGGGAGACCAGGAGCTGTGGAGGTTGGGGAGGAATTTCATGCCAATGATGGTTAAGGCCACGAGCTGCTGCTGCATGTTCCCATCTGCTGCCTCTGATAGACAGGATGCCTCTGATGGGAGTGCTGAAGTCTGAGCTCTGCAGTTGTAATGCCAGGAATGGCTTGAAAATGGACAAAGGGTAGGAAAGAATGGGTCTGGAAAATGAGACGAACTGATGTGGTGGCTGGTGGAGTGATCCAAGACCCCTGAATCAAACAGCACATCTTATACCATGAGGAAAGGAGATGGGATCTCGTGCCAGACATATGGTAGGTTTCCGATTGCCTCTTCGAGCCCAGGGCTGTCTTCCCGGCACGCCAGGTGCTCGGCACTTAGCCCGGACAGCTCCTGGAAGTCCACGTCAGCCTCTGTGCCATGCACGGAGTGTTCCCCAGGGGAGCAGGTGAGGAGCTCAGACTAAGATGTTTCCCTTGAGTGTGTGTCACGGTTGCTGCTTCCCTCTTTCTATAAGAAATCGAAACTAACTGACCCCGTGGTTCTTTAAGTTTCATTTCTAACACAGTTTGGTGGAGTGAGAAGGGAGGAAGGAAGAAGCTACTCTTTGTTACAGGAGGAGTGAGCCATTCCCAGGAATGGAATTCAATCCACATTTCAAGGCTCGTTCTTCATTTCTCTGCCTCCCAATACCTGGGAACATAAAATCTATAAAATGGAGAGCATCACTTCCATAAGCCAGACAAAATCATTTCCCAAGGGCAGCACACGTATCAGGTGGAGAAGCAGTTGTGATGGGCTTTATCAGCAGAAACGCTGCACAAAGCCCTCACAAAAGAAGCCAGAGGAATCCACTCTACCTCCTCAGAAGGTGGGGAAAGAATGAGTGTGGCCTGATGGTCCTGCCCTCTGTGTGGCTGACAGGCTTCTGGGATGAGGGAGGAAGAGAAGGCACAAGGACACAGAGCAAGCATCCTGTTGCAGGTAGCCAGTTGCATGAAGGTGGACTGGGAAAGGGGAGAAAAGCTGAGGAGATGGTGAGCACTTACTAGAAGGCCCAGCCATACTTCCAAGCATGGGGCCTCCAGTCTTCTGGACCCAAGTTGGCTGTTGCCTGGAAGACTTGTGAGTACATCATATGGCCCACCATCCCCAGGAGGCCTACAAAGGAAACAGGAAGGCAGCATCCTTAGAGAAAGGCTGGCATTGGCATCTATAGGGAAAATGATCTCAGAGCAACCTCCTCATTTGGCATCAGGTACAACCTATGTCAAGATGTTCCATTACCCATATGACCCCACATCTCCAGGGGGACAACTCTGCAATGGGGGGGCTTCTCCCTGAAGGTGGGTTTGCAATAGGTTCCCCAGACGTTAGGTTGCAATCTGTGGGAAAGTTTCTGAGTCAGTGCTGCACCCAGGGCTCCTGCTCACTTTCCTTGTTCCCACTCACACCCCTAACATGACCTTTCTTCAGCGTCTACGTGCATCTCTCAGTTTATCCACCAGAGTCTGCAGAAGCTGTGTGTACATCATGACCAAAAAGTAAAACCAAACTGTAATGAGAAAACTTGCAAATAAAAAGAACCTAGAGAGAAATCAGTTTGCAAGTTCTGTGACGATCGAGTATAAAATTTCACAGGTTATTTCCATTTAAAATAGACAACACCTGTGATGTATCTCCTGGTGCCCTTCTTTGGGCTCCTCCTTCCTCCCCTTAGGACAGAGACTCCAGCCTCATGGCTCGTGCTTCAAAGGCAGCAGAGGACACCCCTCATCCAGCCCTGGAGATGCTCACCTGACAAGACAGAGGATACAGCTGCAAAGGCGCTCAGCTTGAGCCCGCAGCCCGGGTTCCCCGTGAATAGCAAGTCCGTCAGTAGCAGGAGGAAGCTGATGAGTTCAAGTCCGATGTAGGCGAACTGGGCTCCCAGTGATAACCAGAGAATCTCTGTCGGAAACCAGAGGAAGATGAACCCTCACCCTGACAGTTAGATGACTGAACCAGCAGTGAACAGATGATGCCCGTGAGAAGTGGAGAGCCTCGTAGCACCAGAGAAGGAGACAAAGGGAAAGCAGCTGGGACAGCCCTTGAACTGGGGCTCTTGGCTATCATCACCCCACAACAGCTCTCACTTTGCCCAGTACCTGGAGACGTAGTCAAGGCACGTGATTGCCTGTGAATACTCTTAGGGAGATTGGAGAAGAAATCATCCAATGTTCACACAATCTTGCAGGGAACATCACTTTGCTATTTGTCATTTTTGCTTTTGTTTTTTAATTGAATTTTGGAACAGTCCATTTTCTTTTCTTTCTCCGTCCTTCCCTCCCCCCTTGACTTGCTTCCTTCTATGTTACCAAAAAAATTATTGAGGGGGAAGAAAAAGGAAAAACCTGAGCTTTTCCCAGGGTTACTTAGCAACAGGACAAGGTTGGAGCTGTTGGTGGATTTCTGTTTGTGAACGTTATTTGTCCCTGCAGTTCCTTTTTTGCATCCCTGCATATGAATGAGAGTCAGCCTAGAAGGAGTCTGTGTCCCTCTGTGAGGCTCAGAAGAAGAGGAAAGCAGGAGATCCCCAGTACAGCTTAGATCCCAACTCAACGGCAACTAAATTCGTTATCAAACCCACATACTTGCCAAAAGCCCCAAGGGAGGGTGGGAGAGGAAAGCCTTCTCCATCAACCGCTTCCCTCCAAATCGGAGAGGGGGGTGACGTGAGCCTTGCAACGTGGCAAATTCCAGTAGTCCTTTCTCACCTCTCTCGGTTGGTGGTGTGAGTTCAAGGAAGCTTCGACACCTCTCCCCTGAAACAGACAAAGGGCAAGGTCACGAGGTGCTACTTGGGATGAAGGATGAAGACCTCCCCAGATCCCATCGCAGGTGCCTCTCCATCTGCCCCACCCAGGCCTGCCCAGCAGATGGGAGGCCGGCGACCCACGTCTCTTCGCAAGCAGGGAAGAATGCGTGTATGGATGAACAAAATGGCAAGTCACCCAAGATGAATTCTCTCTCAGGTCCTGATGATGAAGAGGACATTTCCCTGAGAGTTATACCTGGGGATGTCCCTAGAATTCACCAGCACCTTTGGCGGCTGCTGTACCACTGGCCCGAGTGGTTCTGAATTGCTTCTGGGTCTGGAGTTGGAGCAGTGCTAAGTTGCACGATAATGACTTAAAAATGTAAATACCCTCGAATTTATAATCCTCTCCCATCTCCTTAGCCCAAATCGGGAGAAGCAGCAAGTTGCAAATTGTACGTGTTTCTGGGCTTTAGAGAAACTTCATGATGCTTTGAGCAGGGAGGAGGAGGTGTCCTCAGCCCGACCGCCGCCTGCTCAAGGATGACCCTGAACTGATGTGCCCACACAGTGTCTGCTTTGTGAGCGGCCGCAGACCTGGGAGGGTCTGTCTGCAGCTCCTCCAGGCCGAACTTCACCACCTAGTTGTCCCCTCTGAGCTCTCCTACATTTTCAATGGTAACAGTAATATTCAGAAAGAGAAAACACTCTGGGGGGCTTTAAAGGCGATCTGCTCTGATTCTTTCCTCTAGCAAATGAGAAAATCGAAGCCCGAAGGAATGAAGTTGTTCCTATAAGGTCACAGCTGGGCAAAGCCCGGGCTCTTTCTATAAAATTCTCCTTGCTTTGTCTCTAAACGGCAACTTGAGCTAGCAGGAATGGAAAGTCCTGTTAGAAGTCTAAATGAAACCCTTTCAGGGTAATGGTATTTTAAACCAGCGAGTCTATTAGACGATCAGGAGGTGAAATGTCAGATGGACTTTGGACCTTATTATGAGGGAGTCTGAAGGGGAAGGGACACAGTGCAGGGGGAGGGGGATGCTGAGGCTGGGGTGAGGTCCAGGGGGTGAGAGTGAGTGCTATACACGTCCCACTATGTTTTTTGCCTACATGAGATCCCAAGGGTGGGGGGTTGGGGGTGGGGGTAAGAAATCAGGCATCTGGGGTGAGGCGGTTACCTGGTTCTTCCACAGTTTCCTCACAGGATAGCCACATGCCGCTGCGGAAGGCATGGAAGGTGAAGCGGTCATCCCCAGCCTCCCAGCTGTATTGCACCACCTCCTGGGGTGATGAGTTGGTGCTGCCCCCATCCAAGGGCAGTGGCATGTCAAAGCACTTGGCTGCCAGACCTTTCCCGCACAGGGGCTTGGGCACCTTCTGTGTGCCCACAAACCAGTAGCTGCTGAGCAGGGATGCTGTGGAGAGGCTGAGTGATAGCATGCTGAGGAGGGCAGATAGGCATGTCCGTTGGTCAGAGAAGCCCTTCGGGAGTTCCATCTGTAACAGACGAACACAAGCAGAGCGCCTGAATTCGGAGCCTCCTTGGAGATCCCGACGCCCTTCCACGAGCCCCTAAGCTCTGGGCCACTTTCCTCCAATGTGATGAGCACAACCAGCCCTGGGAGTTTCCTCCAAGTAGCCGTGGGGAAGCTCGGCTCCAGGAGTGGCCCAGAATAGGCACCTCAGCGATGATGTTGATTTAAGCTGGACCTTATTATATTAAAACGCTTATCGAGGATAATCTTGATAAGCATCAGATACTAACCTCAGTCGGAATGTTAGTAAGCCACTGAGCTAGTCTGGATCTGGTTGAGAAGAATTGGGAGCATTCCAAATGCTCCTACTGCTAGTTTTTGCTTTGTTCTTCATTGGAAGGTAGCAGCACTGACCTACAGAGGTATTTGTTACTGGAACAATGTAAAGATTTGGTGTCCCCCTCCCTGCATTACTGATTCTTCAGAGAGGAGTGAAGGGGAATATATCCTATCAACGAATGTTAAGTGGGTCACCCTGGGTGGAGCAGATAGAGGCACTGGGGCCTTGAGGATACAAGAGGGCAGTGGACCAACTTGGGTGCAGGGATGCTGCAACCCTTGGAGAGGAGGTGGAGCTGTGGGTTCTAAGAGAGGTGGTGATCTGGTCCAGCTTCCATCCCCTGCCCCGAGATGATAGAATCTAAAATATGAGGAGGCTGCATGGTGCCCATGGGGCCTGGACACTGAGTGCTGTGGTCATGAAGTCACAGGGAGGGTGCCCTTGGCAGGTGGAGAGGGAACCTGGAGGGGTGGCCCCAGAGCCTGATGTAGCGGCGATGCCTGACTCCTGGGGGATGAGGAGGGGGGACACAGTGTGTGGCAGCAGATGAACGTGATCGGTGTGGCTCTGGCTGCAGCTCCTGACCTCATCATTTTTAGCCTAAGACAAGAGGAGGGCAAACTGAAAATGTTCAATATTAGATGTTTCAACTTCGGTGAGTGGTGGCTTGGAGCCAGATTTAATCTGATTTGAAAAATAAAGAAATCTGACAGATCTCATGCTGTGCATTACAGAGCAGTTTGTGCCGTTACGTTAATAGACACTGAACGAAGAAGCAGCCCGCACTTAGTTGCTGACAGACACTTCTTTAAGTAAAACATCTTGAGCCTTCCAGGGGATCCCTTGTATCAGAATTAATCAGACCCAAATCTGCTTAGCTTAAGAGATGGAAATAAGACCATAGCTAAATGAGGCAGGCCCATAAATCCGCCTCTCTCATCATCCCCAGCTTAACGTTCTCCACGTTAAATAGGGACTTTAACTTAGAAACATAACGGTTTGTTCTTCAGAATTTCCAGGGACTAAAACAATGCATACCACAAAGTGCAAGGTTTTTTTTTTAATGGCAATAAAAAAAATAGCAGATTCATATGTATATAGAAGCCAATAAACAAAACATATGATAAAACAGCTTCTGAAAAGCAATTTGCTAACATGATTTTTTTTAAGCCTTCAACAAATTAAGACCAACAAGAATTGTCAGTTCATGTAAGACTCTGGGTGACCTCAGTAAGGATGCAAAAGCCAAGGCACCTATCTGGAAGCATCTATCTACTGCCAGATATGGGAGTCATGTGTTGCCCTTCCCCTGCAAAAAGAATGTTTTCATCCTGTTTTTAGTTATGAAAATCCTATTGGTTTTTGTCATTGTTCTGTTCTGTGAGTTAGTTATCCTTTATTTTTATATTCATTGCTTGAATAGGAAATGGACTTGCGGGTAAAATATCTTCATCAATCATTCTGCACAAAGATTGAACTAAGGATTTAGGCAATTCTACATTTCCAGCAACTTTTTTTTTCAATCACATATGACTTGGAAATTTGTCTACTATCACATCACGTCAGGGTCGCCCTCAAGCCATTTCAAGTTAGACGTATGTGTAAGTTATTCTTCAGGTTACTCAGAAATAAGAATGATGAACTCCCACACCATGGCACAGCCACTTTGTAGCAGCCCTAAGGTGATAACCTGTTGAAGAGGTGATTTGAGAAGCCAAGAATGAAAAGGCGCTTGGAATGAGGCACAGAGGCTGTTTCCAGAAGGAGCGTCCACTAAGGACAGATCTCAGGAAACTCATTCAAGATTCATCTTGAGGGGCGTGGGGATAGCTCAGCGGTAGAGCACATGCTTAGCATGCAGGTGGTCCTGGGTTCAATCCCCAGTATTTCCATTAAAAAAATTAAAACACTATAATAATTATTTTAAAGAAAAGAATCATCTTGATAATTGAATGAGAATTAATTCAAGAGCCTTTTCAAGAACTATCTCCAACACCCACAGTGCCGTGCCCTTCCGCACATGTATTACTCCTCCCCCACAAAACGCCTTTTCTCCCCAGAATTCAGGTACTTCCTGAATTGAAGAACAATCTAATCAGGCAATGGTTTCCTGAAGGTGATCACAAAGAAGTGGCAGCCACAAGAAAAGCTCTATCTTTGCACGTGCTGACAAGCCCCAAGCCAATGTGACTCTACCGTCTAGAAAACGGACAGAGTGTGGCTTCCCTGACACAGGCTCAGGTCACTGGGAAGTCCATAGGTGCCGAAATGTCAGTAATTTGTCCATCAACATACGTTAACCGAAAAACTCAGAATTAACGTAGGCTAATAAGGACAACGCATCAATGAGATTACCCCAGCTCCTAAAAGAATCAGGTGCACAATAGCTGCGGACTGTATGTTCTGAGCAATAAGAGAGGGAAGCCGGTTACCTTGGCCATGGTCAGCGTCTTGCAGCGTCTTGTCTGGGAGGACTGCCGTTGGCATCTGCGCCTTAAATCCCTTTGGTTCAATGTTGAAAGAAGGAAAACTGCCTTTCCACCCTTCTCCCTCCCTTCCACCCCTCCCCTTCTATCTTGTATTTTTTGGAGTGCCTCATGATTAAATGCTGCCTTGCAGGGAACTTGGGCATTTAATAATTCACAGCGCAGTCATGGCCCAGCTGTTTTGGAAGATTACACTGGAGCACTTGCCAGTGGGGATCTGGGATTAAGCACAAAGAAGCAAGGACCTGCATACGCAGAGGGAAGTTTCTTTAGAAAGTACCTGATGATTTCGTTTCCATCTCACTGCCATTCCCTAGGTAACTGGTGAGAATGGACTGGGCTTGATTTTACAGCAGGCAAAATATTACAGAGTCACCATTGCTCCAAATGGTCTCATTCCCTTTAATAAACTCTTTAATCTGCAATGTCCAGGCCTCAGAAAGCCATGGATGTGAAAAAGCTTCCTGGTGCCATGGGCGGTCTCCACCCTCTAGTTAGTGTCATGAGTAAGGATGATGACAATGTCCTGAGGCCATCAGAGAGTGTTAGGTAGGGATGAAGGTGAGAATGCGGATGGAGGAGGATCAGGGAAATAAATCCCGGGGTCAGCAGTGCTATGGCGAGATACCATTTCTCTCCCAATCTTTGGAATAAAAATTTTGTTTTTAAAAAAGCATTTCTAGGTAGGGAGGGCATATCTCAGTGGTAGAGTGGGTGCTTAGCATGCACGAGGTCCTGGGGGCAAGCCCCAATACCTCTATTAAAAAATAATATAATAATTGTTTTAAAAAGCATTTCTAAAACTTAAAAAGAAAAACAAACCCTAATCTGGCAAATCAACAAGGGTTTGATTGCATGTTTTCTTGCCTCCAGTCCCCTAGAAGTACAAATTGTGCTTTCTGTTCTCAAAAATTGTACCAAGATGACGAGGAGGGAGACAATTCTGCAGCTGTTTTGATTCCCTGAACACCTGTGGACCTCATCCTCCGCAGATGCTCTTCCTGCTTCCAGGAATGTCTTCAGTCTCTTTTCTTAGGAAATGTTTCTTTTTCTCCCTAGGAAGAGTTCCCTCCTCCCTGTCCTTGTCACACCATACCTCGCGACGTGTTCTATATTCCATTCTAATTATTTGTCTAGATTGTAAAGTCCTCAGAGACCTCTCCTTTATTTGAGAGCTGTAGTTCAAAAATCTGATTGAGCAGGAGAACAATCTGCAGCTTTGGAAGATGTGCAATTCCTGGGCTCCATCCTGAGCTGCCATAGTAGTTCTGCGGTGGGAGTTGGGGGCAGGAATCTGTAATTTTAGAAAGCGTTCAGCATACACCCAGGGAGAGACTTTTGGCTTCTGGTTCTGCGTGTAAGTCACTTGGAAATTGCCACTCCGCCCTAGCAACAAGTAAAAAGCTGAATGGACCGAGAAATATAGAGCCAGGGAATTAACATACCATAAAGTAACACCTGTTTGACTCCCTCCGGCTTACTTTGAATGGAAGCCTCTCTAGCCTGCCCTGGCTTTCCCCAACCTTTTCCAGATTTCCCACCAACCAGGTCGTGGTCTTTCCCTTGCATTTGTGCAGCTGATTTAGGGAATCAAAGGCAGGACCCCTCAGACCAGATGAATTAGCCCACATTCCAGCCAAATGAGTCTCTTTGTATCTTGCTTCTCTCACCCAGTATGTTCTCTCCTCTTAACAGCACATTTGACACATGTGGTTTATGTCCAGGCTTGACTTCTTTCTTTTTTTAAGGATATATATATTTGAAGTTAGTCGATTTACAATGTTGTGTAAATTTCTGGTGTACAGAATAGTGATTCATTTAAGGTGTGATTTCTGTATCACCCAAACAATCCTGTATTCATGGTGACAGAATTCCCTCTCCTTTGGGAGAAAGAAGGAATTTTGCGGTCACTCTTCGCCTTTGAATTGGCTGTCGGTTTCGAGGCTGCAGTCTTCATCTCAACGCTAGGTGGCACTATCTTGTCATATGTTTTCTCTTCAGCCACAGGCTTCCCCCATCGGTCAGCAAAGGTGGGTGGAGGTGGCTACTCCGCCCTGCATGATGGAGCGCTTTCTCCTTCCCTCGGCCTCTGCCCCACACATTCATCTATAGAACCGACCTGCGTCAGCCTGATGGAATTCAGGGCTCAGAGTGAACTTTGGGGCCATCCAGCTTTTCCCTTGAGGACATCTTGTAAGA